CATTCATCAAGCCAGATCTCCCGCTTTCTACCCCAAACCTTTGGAAACCACTTTGGAGGGAATAGTCTCGGGTGGTGGTGGGAAAGGGAGATTTCGCCAGATCGACGTTAATGGGTAGGAACAAAATTAGAAAACCACCACCCAGAAAACCAAACAAACAGGCACACTTCTCTCCCCATATATACACCTGTATATATGTTCATGCACACACCGCCGGCCACACCAGCCCTTGGGGGCTTTGGACAAGTAACGTCTCTTTTGGTTCCCCACGTCCCGAGGATGGGTAAGGGCGAAAGGGGGAGATTTCAGATCTGTAAATATTTTTAAAGAGGAAAAAAATAAAACATTTTAAGCATCGTTGCTAACTTTGGTGGCATTGGTTGCCCCGCGTGCTAACACGGGGAAGGTTTCTCGGTTTTAGGTGGAGGGGCTGGTGGGTGTGCGTTTAGAAGAAGGCTTGCGGGCCCCACGTGGAGGGTGGGGCCGAGGTCAGGGGTTAAAGGTTGGGACGCTGGCGCGGTGGCCGCGACACGTGGGCTGGAGCCGCTCTCCCTTCCACTTCCTGGTGCCCAGTCTTGGAGCTGCCTGAGGCCCACCCCGGCCGAATCCAGCTCCCGAGCCCACGCGGAGAGGGACAAAGACAGGAAGGCAGGCCTCGCTGCCGAAGCGGATGCTTCCCGGAGCGAGCATCTTCCCCAAACCCGGATCGCCTTGAGCTTGGCAGCAGCAGGGCGTCGTCGTGCGACGTGGCTCAACCAGTGACACGAGCTTCCTCTCCAAGGGCGCAGGGCAGGTGAGGCGGCGTTGCCTGGACCAGGTAAAGAGCCCGCTTTGCTCGTCCCCCAGCCCGGCGCCGGAGGCTTGCCGCCTCGCTCAGTTCCCGGGAGGGTGGCACCGTCATGAATTCCGCGCAGCAAGGGAACTGGGCGCAGAAAGGCGACACTTTGGTTGAGGAGAGATCTGAGGCTGGAGACTAGGCAAAGAAAGCGCGAAAGGCAAAGGCGCCGTCCCCACACTTGGTTGTTGTTGCTGTTTATAATTTGCGTCGTACGTGGCTAAACGGCCGGATCACGGGCAAGCACGTGGCCGCTCGCGCTGAATGGAACCGTGGTGCGCAGCCAGGGCGCTCACGGACTTCCGTGCTTTTGACACCTGCCGTTCGTGTCCGCGCCGGGAGGGCGCGGCACCGACAGAATAGCCGCGCGAGTGTCATACAAATCCCAGCCTTGCAAAGTTACATCGCAGCCACCTGTTCCTTGTAAAAGTCAGAAAAGGAATCCTTAGTTTAGGGGAGACGGAAGGTTCGGTGTCACGTGGGACGAGCTCCCCAGTCCTTCTGCCTGCGGGGGTCCCCCTGAGCCGTTGCAAAGGTGTCGGGAGCCCGCAGCGCAGGGGGACATTTGTGTGATAGACTTGTCTCTTAGAAGCGAGAGGCATCGAAATTATCTGCATTTTATGAAAGTATACAGACTATCTGTAAACCATCTGTTACTCGCAGAATTCTGTATAAAATTCCTGGTCTCCTGTCCATTTCGAGGTCATATTTTTTTCCTACTCACATTAGATTTCATAAAAATCACAATTTATTTCAAGGTGACATCAGAAGGATGTTACCCAAGAACATGCTAAGTTAGTGCAGTTGCATGTATTTCAAATGAGTTCAATTCAATAAATATTTACTGGGCCCTAGTACTTGCTCAGGACTATGCTAAATGTTAAATATTCAGAGAGAAAACAAAAGTGACACTGGATCCATTTTCTTCTGATTTATTTGGTGCACGTATTTTATTTCAGTGAACTTTCTTTCCAGATGACCTACTTTTAATTCTTCATTTCCTCTAAAGTTTGCTATTTGAATATTTCATGCAGAAATAACCAAATTGCTTCCAAGTAGCTACTTGTACAGGAATATTCCATCCATATAATTTTTGTCTGCATTTCAATTGATTGTTTTTTTTTTTCAAGAGATCATGGTTTCGAAAATATTGGGTCACTATATCTTCCTGAGACTTACTTCTCTTACAAGAAATGGTTTCCTTTAGCCACTGCAGTCACTTACTTGCCCTTCTGATTTTAAGAATTATCCTTTTTTAGTTTCTCATATAGTAGGTATTTCACTCTTTTTACTAATCCAGAAATTAGCAATCAGAGGTGACTTAATGTAATTAGTTTCTAGGAATTCCTCTCTCTAAATGTTAACACACACACACACACACACACACACACACACACACACACGACTTTGCATTTCAATTTAAAATGTTGTTCAAGACTCCATAGTGGCCAGATTTCCTATCTCAAGACTATCAATTCATTTGAATAATCAGCAAAACCATCAGCCTCCTTTCAGGTTCTAAACTAGATTTAAAAGATTGACGTTTCTTAAAACTCAAATCGAGTCCGGCTGCAACTGCATGCCCAGAGGGACCTGAATCATACACACACTGGATAATGAAATACACTTAGATTTTATTAGAGGATAACTCATGCTCAGAATTTCGAAACGCTAATAGGATTAAATAAACAACTGGGAGAGGGAACCAAATAAAATTATTTGGAGCTAAAGTTATTTTGCCAAAGTTAGAATGGAGGCAAGGCACTGCATCTTAAAATTCTTAACCTAGCCATTACCTTGTTGAAAGAGATAGAGAACCAAGTATGAGGACTTGTGAGGCGGGAGGGCAAGGATCTGTCCTATTAGCAGTGATATCATCAATACAGTGGGGAGAAGGGTAGTTGGATGTTTATTTACTGTGTCAAGATGTGCACCTGAGTTAGCGTAGGTGAATGCATAAAGACCAATATTTTTTTCTCTATTAATGTACCTTAAAAGTTAAACACTTTAATCAACAATTTCCTTTCACTTCATACAAAGTCACATGATTTTTTTTCACATAAGGCAGTGAAAAAGAGGTTATAACATGGATTACATTGAAAATTTTCACTGAGTTTTTGATATTCAAGAGTAACTGCGTCAGAGCATTCTAGTTACAAATTAAGTATTGCTTGTCTTTCATGGAGATCAAATCATTTCTTATTATGGAAGCAACTCTCTTGATTCTCCTATTTGTGGAGGATTCTAGAAATAGAAAATGGAGTAAACAGCTGGAAACTTTAGGGAGTTGTTGGGGTGGGTGTGGGGTGGACAGGGAGAAGCTTGTAGCTGTCATTTAGGACCCTATTTAAACATATGTCTAAAAGAAGCTTTTGAGCATTAACACATTGCAGATTGTTTCCCAGTCTGTCCACCCACCAGACAGGGAGTTCCTCCAGAGCAAGGACTGGTCTAATTAATGCATCTTCCCAATCTCTCACCAGGCCTGGCATACGGTGGATACTCAATAAATGTTTGTGGAAAGATGTAATGGAGAAAGAAAGCCTAGTATAAATAAAGATGAGTTCCCATGAGATCAATAGATTTTGAGACAGTGGGAAATGAGACCCTGGTTCCTAAGTGGAAGTTACAGGAAATGAGAAAAAAAATCAGGTCAAAATAATGCAATTTATTAGAGTAAATATTTCCTTCACCACTCCAATTTTGGGTTAACTTCATGGGAGTATGTATGTCCAGTGAAAGGGAGAATAATTTAGCTCTATGGGAGTATTGACCAAAATGGGGTTCTTGTGTCTCCAAGATTAACTCAGACGGCAAAGGCGCCACGGTTAGAACTGGAAAGAGCATCTTACCCACCTACTCTTCAGGGTACAGGCAGGGCGTCGGCCTCAGGGAGACTACATTTCCCAGCGTAGCGCACACGTACCCGAGAAGGGCGTGACGCAGCTTTGGCGCGATGCTCCTCGGGAGCTGTAGTTTTCACTCGTCCAGCGCGAGCCGGGTGCCTCAGCCCTTTGGTAAAGCGAGACCACGTGATCGGAAAAGCAGCGATTTGCCTTTGAGCCGGAAGAGGATGACTGGGTTGACCGACGCCCGGTTTCCGGGCGAACCAATCGGTTGCCTAGAGTGAGGCGTTGGCGTTTGAAATCAGCCAATGGCAGGCATCGGCCGGGGCTTCCTCTCCGCCTCCTTCGCCCAGCCCGCGAGTGCTCGGAGGGAAGCTAGGCGGCGGCGGGCGGCGGCGAGCAGCGGCTAACTTGATTCTGAGGGTAGCTCAAGGTAGCAGGGGGAGGCGGCGGGGCGCAGAAGCGGACTCTCCGGGGACTCCCCGGGGCCGCAGCTGGCGGAAACTTCCGCAGGGAATCCGTTTCGCTTCCATCGCTTTTCTTTTAGCATCCGGGGCCGGGGGGGGAGGGGCCGAGGTGCAGGAGCCCGCGGCGGGGAGGGATGTGGCGGGCGCGGCAGAGGGCTGGAGTGAGGGTTGCGGAGGCGCGGGCCAGGTGGGTTGGGGCGTTTCGGGGGCAGTAGGGGATGGGGAGCAGGGGATCGAGTCCCGACCGCGGCGGGCGCGCAGGCTTTGCGCAGGCGCAGAGACCTGGTCGCCGACGTTTTCTAGGCCCTTCCCCTGTGGGCGCCCCCTCACTGCTCAGCTATCAGCCCAGTCCCCGCCCACGGACCTTGGGGTCGGGGCGGGGGGGGGGCTCTGACTGGGCGCTTGTTTCGTAGATGACGGGTTCTAATGAGTTCAAGCTGAACCAGCCACCTGAGGACGGCATCTCCTCCGTGAAGTTCAGCCCCAACACCTCCCAGTTCCTGTTGGTCTCCTCATGGGACACGTCGGTGCGCCTCTACGATGTGCCGGCCAACTCCATGCGGCTCAAGTACCAGCACACTGGCGCGGTCCTGGACTGCGCCTTCTACGTGGGTGTTCTCAGTTTCCGCTTCTGCTCTTTTTATAATGATAGCCCATGTTAATAGCAGCCCTTTTCCAGGCTGGGCAGAGACTTGTGAGTTGTTTGGACAGCTCATTAAATTTTCCCTAACACGTACCTTGAACCTGATACTGGTTTTTCGCTTTTGGGGACAGGCAAATGTCAGAATCTCGGCTTCCCCTTAAGAATGGAGTCGAATGACATAACCCTGTAAACTTGACGTATGACAGTTGTTTTTTGAAATTTGCAACAAGACAGTAAAAATTGTCTTGTTAAAAGGAAGGTGTAGTTACTAGTAAATAGGAATGCCTGTTTACTCTCAGCCAGTGGGGCGAACCGGTTTTCCTTAACTGACAGTAGTTTTTATGACCACTTATTTGCTTTTGTGCTGTTTCGTTTGTTTACAGTGAATAGTTGAGCCCAGTGTACATCATCCTGTGCATAAACTAAACAATTGGCTCTAGAAACAGGAATTTTGAGGCACTCTAAATGTCCATAAGGTTTAAATGACTTGAAACTTTATTTTGTAGGATCCAACGCATGCCTGGAGTGGGGGATTAGATCATCAGTTGAAAATGCATGATTTGAACACTGATCAAGGTAATATGGCCATTTTTCACCAGTTTATTATTTTCTCAGTTTACTACAGTATAAATGTTTAGGAAGAGTAGTTTCTGAATTGCTTAATTCTTAAGCTGCTTAGATATAGGCAAAAATGGCTCGTATTTAGGATTTTTTTTATTTAAATGATAATTATTAAGTTACTGATCACAAAATAGTGTGCACATATTTTTTCAGTAAAGTGAATTCTGAAGGGCACTTAAGTCTTTGACCTTTACCTTAGCCTCAGAAGAGGGCTGGACCTCTAGTTGGTCTTTTCATTAGGGTTTCCAGGACAGGGCTGATATTTCACAGTTCTGTTTGCAGAAGCCAGTTCAGTTTAGATTGAAGGAAGAAAGATTTAAAAAAATCTAATGTTATATAGTAGTTAGCTTGTCCAGGTGTTATATTAATCCTGTTGTGTTATTATTTAGCATAGTATATGCTTCAGTTGCATTCATTAAATGAATAACAAGGTGATACATCTTTTAATTAATAATTTCTTAGAAGTCCAGATACAAAGTGACTTACCCCAATTTTTATGATGATTTTGGAGTAGAGATTTTAATGAAATCTGAATGCACAGAGTTCTCTAGTGGAGCTTTTTTTTTTTTTTTTTTTGGTATTGGTATATGCATATATTAGACATATACGAACTTGAAGCGGATGGTCAGGCACAGAGTTCTGACTAGATGAGTATGAGTTAGACAATGGGAATGGATAGAGGATGAACACAATATTTTGTCAACCCAATCAGAAGGGACTTTTGCCTAAAAGTCACTTTATCATGTCACTTGTAGATGTTTGGTTTTGTTTGCTAGCAGCTTATTCTGCGTAATTAGTTTGCAGGTTTAGGGCCTATTTGTTCAAAAACTTAGGAGAGAAAAACCACTGAAAAGTAAACCTGAAGTTATTTTCTATGCTAGAGACTATAATAAAGGGAATTAGCTGTTTATTCTCTGAAGGTCATTGCCGAAAATCATGAGGTAGTTTTCTTTCTTGTTTAAATGGTATGTATTTAAGCAGGTAGTTTTCCTGTTTGAGAATTAAGACCACATATTGTTCTTTCTTGTATTCTTAGTATTTGGCATAGATTCTGGCACATAGATGTTTAGTAGATGTTGAACGAATGAATGAGATAGTGAAGAGTTGAAATTGTATTTGAAATTTGACCCACCATAAAACCAAGTGGGTTAATCTTAAGGCGCCAGCCTTCTTCATCTTCAGATCTCAGGTAGTCTGTTACCACTTAAATAAGTTTCTCATAAGCATTGGCTTAATGTAATAAGTTTTATCCAGATCCAGACCTGAGTTATCCACTCATTTGTTCATTTGGCAGGTATTTCTTGAGCATCTACCATGTATCAGAAACCTGCACTAGGTACAGCAGAACTCCAGAGTTAAACGAGGGTCCTGATTTAAGGGAATCTGGACTCGAGTGAGGAAAATAACATGTTAATGTAGTCTGAAATTCAAGTCAGCCTTTGATATGCCAGTGAATCAGACTGTGCACTGTAAGGTGAACAGAGAGGAATGGATGAGTGTGTACTTATGGAGAAATTTTTCTGTATGTGTGTATTTCCATGTAGTTGGAGGAGGTGGATTTATTATAGTCGTACAAATGTTTCCTTCTGTTGTTCACTTGAGGAATCTTTGTTTAGTAGATGTAGTAAAACTAGGAATTGTTTGTTTTCTTTTCTATAGAGAATCTTGTTGGAACCCATGATGCCCCTATCAGATGTGTTGAATACTGTCCAGAAGTGAATGTGATGGTTACTGGGAGTTGGGATCAGACAGTTAAATTGTGGGATCCCAGAACTCCTTGTAATGCTGGGACCTTCTCTCAGCCTGAAAAGGTAGGCTCTTTATGTTCCTAACAGGAATTCTGGTCCTTGGGGTGATGAATATAATATGGATATAGACGTTAAGACTTGATGAATCTATTTTACAAACCAAAATACATAGAAATATTTTGATGCAAAGGGAATTTAATAATTTTGGTATTTTGTTCAACTTTTTCTGTCAGTTGTCATGTTTGTACTGAAGAACGCGAGCTTAAATAATGAATTTCCATGTATTATTAATGCTTTAAATCTCAGGACTGAGAAGCAACTCAGTGCATTTTCAGAGAAGTCATTTAGCAAAGACTGTTGGATCGCTTCAAATTGGGTTTGACGTGCCCAAACCAGAAAGTGGACTGGGGTATCACTCATTTTCACTTATGACCTGAGGTTTCATTTGAGTTTACTGTTAAGAGGGTGAAATGGGTTATTTGAAGTTTGATGAGAAAGGTGCCCTGTATTCCCTGGCTTTTACCATTTATTTATTTTTGATACTGACCGGTGTAGTTCGAAGGCTCTAGTGAATGAAGCTTCTTAAAATTGAATCTTTGTGTATTATTCTAACCTTTTGATCTGTACAATGAAAGTGTATTTGAGCATTCTTGCTGTATTCTCATCAGACTTTATCAGGTGGTAGTTAATTTTAAAGATTGATTGTTTTAGCAGTTTAAAGATATCCTTCACTTGAGTCTGTTTCCTCAGTGTAAATATACTATTCAGTTCATGTTAGCCATCATTATATACTACAGTGCATCCAAAGAGTCATTATTTTTGTCACATCACAGTCGAGTCTACTTCTGGCAAGACCTTTGTTCAGAATAAAATAATTGCATTGTTTCTAGTTTTGATTTATGGTTGTATGTAACATGTTAAGAGCCGTGATAAATTGCTGACAGAATATCATATAATGGACAGCCACACTGAATCAAGCTGCTTATTGGTTCAGCAAGGTTCATTATGTCACTTTTTTTAATACTTCCTTTGATAAATGTATATACCTAGTCAGTAGCATGACAGTGGTTTCACGTGATTTATGATCAGCAGGGATAGAAAGCACTGTTAGAAGCTGTGTGTCACCTGTATAAAGATTTAAGATAAAATTTCTAATCTGATTGTATTATTGTAAATCGATTTTCTTCTGGTTTTTTAAGTTTGGTTTTTCATGTGTCTTAGGTTAATTTCCATTTTTCTATATTTTGTTTTCCGAATAGAAGATGGTAAATCTTATACTTCTCATTTAAATATGCCTATTTTACTGTTTTGACTCTTTCTAGTCAAAAAAAATTTTTGAATTCCTTATTTTTTCTTGGTCACATAGTTGAATTTTAAGGCCAAATTGTGGAGATTATCGGGTGTTACATTGTTAAACCTATCTTGATTTTTTTGGCTGGTGGTGCGTAGTTAATATTAGTGATTACTAACCATGTGGTTTAATTATTAGAATGTTAGATGTCTTGCCATGTGATGGGTCCTCTTCATTTTTTATAATGATTCTTCAGGTTTTAAAATGTTAAGTCAGATTAAATTAGAATTGTTTATTAATTGAAAGTAATAATTAGAGCAACAATTATGTATCTGAAGTCTAGAATAAAAAAAAAGACAATATGATCAGGAAAATACAACTTGCCAACATTTTCACAAGTTTATTTGGTCCTTGAATAACATATTTGAAAATAACTGCTTTAAACGCTCATGTACAGGAAATTGTATGATTTATTATAAGGGGATTTTTTATGGGTGTTGTTTTGGTATTGAAGAAAAGGCATGAGGGAAAAATAGATACATTTACGGGAAAAAATGCTTTTAAAATTTTCCGTAAAGATGAACTCTTACAGAGTGTTTAGTAGGACATCAGCTGAAGTATAAGAAGTTGCTTTGTCATAGGTCAGAGCACTATTCCTGTCTTTTAATTTTGAGTTTATATGCCACCAATTGCAGCTAAGTAGCTAATTGATGGCCTCCTCACTTTTCCTGGAAAGGCCTATTTATTGAGTGTGACATGGGGGGAAGCCAAGATTGTTAGAGTTACAGCCTGAACTCCAGTTCTAAAAGGTGGTCGTAGAAAATAACTCTGAAAATGATTGTTTTATGAAAAGCCAGAAGCCCCTTGAAAGGTGTCTCGAATTGTTCTTTGGCTTTATTGTCTCTTTTTTGAGTATTTTTTATACTTTTGTCATTACATGAAATAAGAAGGCTGGAAAAATTAATAATTTGTTTTAGTGATGAAGAGAATTAAGTCTTCAGAAGTGTTTTTACGGAATTAGACCGTACGTTATATGGTACTTGGTTTAAGTATTAAGAATATTTCGGGTTTATTATTTCATGCGAATTACTTGGTTTATGTAACTAGTACTTGAAATTATTTGGTACTTGTGTTTGGGAACCCGATCAGCTAAATTTTTTTATGGTTTAATGATGAGTGAACTTGATTTTGGGGCCCAGTGCCTTTTTCAGGCAAGTAGATGACTTTGAAGATTTGGTCTTTCTTGAAAGGTATATACGCTCTCCGTGTCTGGGGACCGGCTGATCGTGGGCACCGCGGGCCGCAGGGTGCTGGTGTGGGACCTGCGGAACATGGGCTACGTGCAGCAGCGCCGGGAGTCCAGCTTGAAGTACCAGACGCGCTGCATACGAGCGTTTCCAAACAAGCAGGTACTGACCTGTCTTCCTCCCCCACTTTTGGAATTTGAAAATAATACGATCTTAGATAATAATGATATGGTCACTGCCTTTGAAATCCCCCCTACCCTCCCCCCAGTTTTTTGAGTAGTGGTATAGAATTTGCTGTTAGGTATGTTTTTAGCAGCCTCGTGTTAAAGGGTAGTCTGTTAACCTAGTTTTAGAGAAGACCTTGATGTTCAGAGAGGCGAACTACTCTGGCAATGGTTTGGCTAGAGATCTTCTGATTCCTCGTTGATCCTCGTCCAGAACGCTTGACAGGTATACAGTAATCAAGGAGAGTTTTGTATGTATTTCCATTTACCAATATTTCAAATTTGAATCTGGAAATTTAGGGCCGTGGAATTTGCTGTTCTCTTCTTTTTCCCCTTTGTAACCCCAATACTGATAGTGTTCGTTAGCCAGTCTAACAGCAGAACTTGAGTGTTTTTTCTTTTTTTTTTTTAAGAATATCACTGAGGTTAGAGAGGCAGTGCCCCTCATAGAATGATTAACTCCCGATGTGGCGGGGGGGTCACCCTCTGTCATCGTTGCTAAAGGAGCTTACCCTGTTTGTTAGTGAGCCCCTCCTCCCCGCAAATCCTTCAAGTTTAAAGGGGAGTCGGTGCTGTGGTCAGCTGCTAGAGGAGTTTTGCAGGAGGGAAAGTCATTAAAAATAACATATCTTGGAATCTTATGTCTGTCCTTTAGTTATTGTGGAGCTGGAAGCATTATGTCAGTTGCTCTCTTGGTCCTTTGTCTTAAGAGGCTAGTGCCTCGAATGGTGTTCACATTTTTTTCAGAGTATTGTGAATTTCCATTGAAGATAAAGAATTGAAGTTACTTGAAACTTTCGAGATTTAAATATATGATTAAAATATGCTTGCATTTTAAAATACTTTTATATCTAAAATTTTTTGTCAGTATATCTCTAGTTTACAGTGGAATTTTAACTAAAAGTAAGGTTTTACTGATTTTTTTTTCTTTTTTTGCTTCATAAGTTTTTCAAGAAAACTTTCATACTTTGGAAAAATGGGAAGAAATAAAATAGATTTCATATTTATCTTATCTCATTTATTTTTTCTCTTTCTTTGACATAAAAACAGCAAGTGAAGATAGCCTAACCTTTTTTTACAAAATAAGTATTAATGTTTTTAAACTTTGGAATGGTCATAACTATGTTAGTATAGCTTAAGCACTCTGTTAAAACCTGGCCATGCTTGCTTTTCCTTACTGAAATAATGTTTTTCCTTTAGTGTGGGTTGAATTTGGGAATTAGTGGCTTGTTTTTGGAAGCTAGGTTCACCATTTTTGGCTTTCTCCGCTCCCTCTTGGCAGGGTTATGTATTGAGCTCCATTGAAGGCCGAGTGGCGGTTGAGTACCTGGACCCAAGCCCCGAGGTACAGAAGAAGAAGTATGCCTTCAAGTGTCACAGACTGAAAGAAAATAACATTGAGCAGATTTACCCCGTCAATGCCATTTCCTTTCACAATATCCACAACACATTTGCCACAGGTAGAGTATGGCGTCAGGACAGTGTAATTTCGCTATTTGCACACGAGACAGTTATACTTAAGCAGTTTTTTTTTGTTTTGTATTTTTTTTTTTTTTTTTTTTTTTTTTTTTTTAAATATGGTGCTTTCTTTTTGTGATATTTTGGTGAAAAAAGTCTGGTACAGTACTCTTTGGGGAAAACATAACTTCTGTGGTCTTAAAAATTAACCATTAGTTAAATGGTTATTTCCGTATCTTTAAGAACCATTTTTAACTCTTGAAATTACTTGCAGGTGGTTCTGATGGATTTGTAAATATTTGGGATCCATTTAACAAAAAGCGATTGTGCCAGTTCCATCGGTACCCCACGAGCATCGCATCGCTTGCCTTCAGTAATGACGGGACTACCCTTGCCATAGCATCATCATATATGTATGAAATGGATGACACGGAACATCCTGAAGATGGTATCTTCATTCGCCAAGTGACAGATGCAGAAACAAAACCCAAGTGAGTATGCTTCACCTGTATTTGAGCCTTTTCTTGCATTCAACCCAGGATTTATTAATTTTTCTAAATTCATGAATAGCATTGTTGATGCCTGCTCGATATTGCAGCTGACTGTAGGGTAGGAGTTGATTTTATCTTGTTCTCCCAAGCTTTCAATATCCGCAGGTTGATAGACGTCTGATGGATGAAATTGTGCCTAGTTGTTTTGTAGAGAAGAATGTCAAACTCTCATTCTTTTTGAATAGGCACTATTATTTGAATCTCTGGAGTTATTACTAGCTCATTGCTTCAAAATTAAGTTGAGGAATTCAAGAATAATTTACTTAAGCAAATTCTGTTTAAGATATTTAAGAATTTGAACTGCCAAAAATCTTTCCTCTCCACAGAGGTTGTTTCTTTAATACTTACACAGAGTGAGTGACCTTCAGGTCTTACTGGAAACTCACAGTAATATGACCTTGCCTGGAGTAGCAAATTTCCTTAGCTTTGAAATTTTCTTAGATGTTCTTGGCTCGTGGTTGTAACCGTTGA